ATTAATACTGGCAACAGTAATATTCAAAAACTGCACAGCTGTGTTGCTTTCATAATAAATATCATGTTCTTGACTCCCAACGAGTGTAAGATGAACGTCCCCTTGATGCGCAATGTATAAAGTATACGTAGCAGTCTTGATGACCCAAGACTCTGTCACAATCACTCTTTGACCTGGTGGACCAGTTGCAAATTTATCAAATCTTCGGAATTCAATATTAACCGACGATGCTACTGCTCTCCAAGTATCACCATGGTAACCAAGTTTTTTCGCAATGGGATGATTGTCCCATTTTCTTCTAGACCAATAGAATGCTAGCAGGATTCCAAATATGAGTATGCCAATTGAAATACATATATAGAACTGCCAGACTTGGCTTACTGACCAGAAGTTCCACAGATTCAGGTCGGGCACTGCAATAGCAAGACCAATATAATAACCTGTAAAATAGAATATAGGTACATGAGGGTTACTATGGTTACCATATGCAAGCTAATCTGCATTAAAAGTTTTGAAAAACTTACCTCTGGTATATATAGCAATCATCATGATTACAGACCATATTGTAAATTCAAAATATAGTGCATTCTGAGAGAAGTTGTGCTCGATTCTGTCAAAGCTATCCAACAATGCACCATATTTTGGAATAGCAATATAATTATGTTGAAGTCTTTGTGCTGCTACTCATCTTTCATACAATGAACATAGACACTTGATTGGATGATTAATTAATTAGTTGAGTGTCAATTGAAATGAATGTGTGTTAGAATGGAGTAAACAGAACCATGCAAGACTGTGCTCAATTTTGACTATGACAGAAGGCACATGAAGCAATAGTTGCAGAGTATGTCCTTCTTTTCCCTTAAATGATCTGATCAGCTATGGTTCATGTTTAATTAATATTCGGCCATATTTGTATGTCCAGCATGGTGTATTGAAAATAATATATGACCCAGAACACTAGATAAGTAAAAAAAGATTAAAAGTGAGTATGTTGCAATAAGTGACAGAACAGTAGCCATATAACAGTATATGTTATATATATTTTAATGTCTGTTTATACTTTTATATATGTAATATTTTTTAATTTTTGTATAATTACAAATGACGTTTGAAAGCAAAACTTGATCAATCACAACATGTTTCAGAATGCATAACAGTAAATCAGTCAATGATTGAAAGAAACTCATGGGAAATAGGCGACATTTCACCAAATAACTTATATAGGTATCACTAGTGTAATACAACCTCTCGCAGCCACACTGCTAGAAATAAATGCCATAATGTAGACATACCATATTACTGAAAATCTCTGATGCCCTATTGACCCACTTAGGCGATAGTCAAGAGTTGATGATTTCAAAATCAGATCAAGTACAATGCGCAGTCGTCGTCATATAAATGATAACATTTGCCAGAACACCTCAGAAACGAGCATGTACTTTATTGATCAGAGCACATAAGTACGAAACTATCATGTTTCAAACAATTATTGATCATAAAATTATAACTTTGGTTATCCCACTATCTATTTTGGAATTAATAGTTATTGCAACCCCAGAAATTAATTCGCAAAGAACGTTTATTGTGTTTCTTTTTAAATGTGCAAAGGTACAACATTAATTACACATATGAAACCTTCCGGAAATGAAAGTACCCCCGGTACATTGTTTGGATCAGATGAAGCGTGATTGTTCCCAGGAATAAAGGAGGATAAATGGTTTATAAAAAGTATTTCATAAATTTACATAAAAAGCATTCACTGTAGAAATGCATATATAAGCATTCACTGTAGAAATGCATATATTATAATACTTTGTTAATAAGGAATTATTTCAACTTGTCTTACATGTGTCTTGTATGAGAGGAGATAGGAGATTAATTGGCCATACATAGATACAGAACTAGTGGAATGAAAATGAATCTTAACAAAATGTTTTTGTTTCTTTGTAACAAAACCAGAAATTGTCGTATGAGTACACCAATTTATTATTACTATTATATAATTGTATATTATAAAAGATTCATTGTCAATATAACATTATCAAAGAATGTAGACAGAAATTTCTCTCAGCTCTCTTTATTTATGAGCCACTTTTTCAAAATTTAAGTATTGATATCTATTATTAAAATTCTCTCCAGTTGTGACAAGTTTATCTTTTCCAATTTTACTTTGCTTGTTTTTTTTGTAATTTAGATCTAATTTAGTCTTGTACATTGTAGTAATGTACGTCTTTTGCTCTTTTGGACATTACTTTTGAACATTGTGTACGTTCCAAATATCATATCATATCATATCATTTTTATTTACTTTTAAACGTTACTAAAGTTAATGATTTATTATTCCAATATGAAAAAATCAATACAGCGACACTTTGAGGGACTGTGTACTGGTACATGTGCCGAATATCTGTATTATGATAATTCGAACTTACCCAATGGAATAAAACAATGAAATACAAGTGTAGCCGTTGTTCTTTTCAAATGATAGTAAACAAAATGCATTTCTTCACTGCCAAGCCAATGTGACAGAACGTTCTGGACGGTCAGTCCGGCAGATCTGAATTCTTGCGGTGGAATTGCCAGACACAGAGCTATCAGCCAATAGCCCAGCGTGAACATGAACTCCATGGATGCCTTCTCCATTTTTTCACTTATGCAGAAAGGACCGCAAATGGAAATTAACACAGGACTACTGAATCCACCATTCAGACAGTTTCGATATCATCGTACCGGAAGTGACACGAGTTTCTACTATGTCAGGTGATTCGTATACTAAGTCACGTGTTATGTTGGTTCAACGAATCAGCGTGTGCGATATTTTCAGAGCAAAGAATAATCCTGGATATACATACATGTACTAGTAGTTTGACAAAAACTTTACAACGGCAAATGTTTTCGAAATACCAGTAACGAGTTGAGATTCAGAAATTCTGGGGCGATGGCAAAAAACATATGTAAAATATTATCGTCCTTCACTTAATTTAGTGTTATTGTTTTGCATGATGAATTCGCTGTAATTGTAACACAAACACAAACATGGAAAACAATACAATTTATACTTTACCATTATGTTTTTTCTACTTTTATTTATTTGCTCACATCTTTTTTTTATTCACATCTGTATTGCATTTCATTCAAAATCCTAATAGCGATACGGAACACATAAGATAATTATTACAGAATCTCTGTAGGATGTTTGTCCATGATTTTTTTCCTATACATTTCAGTTTTTTAATTCTTCCATCGCTCAGAATTCCTAAATACAGAGTTAAAAAGTGGTGAATCAGGATTTCGTTCAGACATATGACGCTTACTCTTTTATATTGTATGGCTTTATTTTTTTGTTTTGTATTGATTACTACTAGGTAGTAGCTTCGCAATGAGTGGCTGTCGTGATGATTGACTTTCGCGGTGAGTGGCTTGCGTAGTGAGTAGCTTCAGTAGAATTAATGTTTTACGTGTTATTAACAACCGGTGTTAATCTGGGAATACTATCTGGGGATAACTAACTTTTCAGTGGCAAATACAAACGTAAAATTCTTGGTTAATTAAAAATAAAAAAATACCCTGGAAATTACAGAAAAATCAGCAACGAGGTGTTGTTTTTAAACACCGCGGAAAAATTACGCACTCTGCGATGCCATCTTGGTTACCTTAATAATCGGAAACCCCCTTGTCAGCTAGCATGCATCTGTACACAGTCTTTCTATAGACTATAGAGGGACTGTGATCTGTAGCATGTCGCAAAGTACGTTGTACGGTCGTGCTCGGAGACCTCTGGTACTAAGGCACTCTATGAATGAGGTATTTCCAGAGTTCAGGGTTCGTTTAATTTGTATCGACCCGTCTCATCTGTAGTATGAAATTTGTCTTGATTTACAATAGTTTCCCTTCCTTTTCGATTTTTTTCTCACCAGCGTTTGCGAATAGCCGTTGTGTATCAAAATATTACGTCCCTTTTCAACCTGGCCGTCTAACTTCGCACGGTCCATTTCACCGGAGATCACGAAAAACTGCGTCATACAAAATTATTTTACAGGTTTGAGCACAGTCCCTCTGAGGGACTGTGGTTTGAGGAAAGGTAAATTTAGACTCAACCCATCCAATGGCGATCGCTATGTTTATATAACTGTGTGAATATGTCATCGGCTTTACGTAATCCATTGTGCCCCTCCCTAAGTGGAAAAGATAACACGACGCCATGACAGTTTTCACGCAAGGTTTTGACTCCGCGGACGACTTTACGTCTGTTTCCTTCGAATTGTGAATATTTTTTCTTCTTCTGACGATTGAATAAGCAGCACGCGTCAGTGTATGATGCATCGTGGCATGTTGTCGTGATGCAATAACCATTTTGTGTCACTTACATAAAATGGGCAATATCTCCGTTCGTGTTTTCTGGTTGGTCAGAGAGATTTAAAATTAATCAGCTCCCACAGTTTTTGTCAGTTTGTCTTGAAATGTTCACACTATTTTGACGACGTCTCGGTGAACAAAAGGACGTCTGCATTCTCGGACAATGACATTCGAAGTGTGGAATACTGACCGGGATTCAATATACGGCACACATCCTGCTTGACAACTTTGTAATATGAAAACAAAACATACTATATATACACCTGGAGAATGTTTGCACCTGTTATCTCTATTTTAAAATCGTCTTTTGAGTATGCTCCACTATTCTAATGCTGCGAAATTTTAACAGTCTATAGCCAAGACTGTTTGGATCATAACAAGCAAAAAAATCACTCCCAAATGCCCACGAACCTGTATCTAGTTATCTGTGGTGTGAGAAAAGTTGAGGATAAATAAAACATTGCGACAAAGGTCAAAAACATTATTATGCTAATTACGATTATATCCACTATTTTAAAAACAAATTACTGGTATATATATCGGCGATAGCTACGTAAATTTGGACCAAAACGTTATCGGCAAGATTCCGTGGACGGCAGTGACGACCACCAAAACGTAATAGAGAACAAATAAACACATGAAGCATACACAACATTTTCAAATATTAGCATAAGATACGGAATTTGAAAATTACGTAAATGAAATAAACTTTAGCTAAAGTAGAATGTTATCAAAATTAAAGCTTAGTGATCACATTTTGGAAATTGAACTGGGAAGAAGAAGAAAACCAAAACTACATTTTGTACCGGCAGCAGAAAGATCTGTAAAAAATGTGATCAAGACGATACTGAAGATAAAAAAAATCTTTTGAGCTGCTCATATTTTGAAAAGGAAAGAAAAATCTTACTGAAATTACCTCCAGTGAAGAGAACAAAGACGTAATATTCTTAAAAATTATGAAAAATAACAATGCTCTTTCACTATATCTAAGAAAAAAAAATACCATATACAAAGCACCGCCTGTGTAAACCCCTGGGTAGGGAGAACCTTTACTCTGATTTATTTACTTTATGTATATTTAAATTTGTAGTTATTTTTAGTTATATTACTTATATTTTACTTTACACTAATTTTACCATACTGTATCTACAGCAGATTACAATTGCGTAATAAACTATTATTATACCATTGTTTAACCTTGAGGGGAACTGAAATTACTCGCTTTTGAGGGTGACATAATAAGCGAGGGGAATATCACGGGTAAAACTCTCTTTCTCTGGGGGCTCTCCACACTTGCCAGGGGGGAAACTCGTCTCGTCTCTCTATCGTCCCCTTGAGGTACGGGATCGGGAAAGTCACTTTAACTTTACAGTCAAATAAGACACATACAACGAAATACGTTTCAGCTCTCGTCTTAGTCGGTCAATCGAGCACTCTATCAGACACAGCGCCCTGGGGAAAAAATCCCCAAGACCAAGACTGGACTGCCTCAAGGCTCGCCCCTGGACTGGACTCGACTCTCCAGGACTGCTGTCTCTCTCTCTCTACTGCGTCTGTCGTGGAGTACTCTTCAAGACCAACTCAAACTCTCTTTATTCATTTTCAAAACTCTAACCAATTACAAAGCAGTAAAAAGACTCTAGGGCGTAACCTTCAATCATAAAGCCAATCACACTAAGTACTGAATACGTCATATCTTTTGATTAATCGTTCACTACATTAATAACTATGAATATAAACTGTCAAAATCGCGACGGATATCTCGTAATTAGTTCCAAATCACTGAGCCAAGTTCCGTCCAAAACTTC